AAAATTAAAAAGAACGAAGTCAGTAACTTATTTCTTTATCGAGATCTCAAATCTCAAAAATCAACGGAAAATAGGGGTACAGTACTTCAAAAAATATTTTAACCCCCAGAAGCTTATATTAAAAATGTTATTTTATGCCTATCTGAAAGCCCATAAAATTTACCACAAAATAGTCAGGAAATTAATTTTTCTAAAAAAATACCTGGTTAACTCTAGTCTATTTTCCCAAAAGAAAATTTTTTATAAAAGCTCCAGGGGGTTTAAATATTTTTTGAAGTACTGTACCCCTATTTTCCGTTGAATTTTGAGATTTGAGATCTCGATGAAGAAATAAGGTACAGACCTCGTTCTTTTTTCTTTTCTACTCAATATCGATGGAAATGTTCACAGAAATTTTTATAGAATTTTTGACCGAACAAAAGTCGATATTTCTAGTCTGGTCCTATCTTTTTTTCCACCCCAAAAATTGAGTAGTTTTTGTTTTGAAATATTTGTAAAATTAATTGTTGATCAAAAAGGTAATATTTGTACTCATTTAATAGAGGATAGATTAATCGATAATTTCTATCAAATTTTTTCTCTTAAAAGTCTAAAATTCGGAAGAAAATTTGTGGAAAGGAAAATGTGTGCGTCTGGTCCTATCTTTTTTTCCGGCACTGTAGCTTATTTTAGGAAATGTATTTGTTCATTGTTTTTTCATTATCTATTCAGTTTTTCATTATCTAATTAATAACTAATTTCCAAAAATGATAGTCAATGTGAGGATTATTTTAACTTATAACACCAATAATTTCCGATCTTTTTGAAAAAATTTTTGGAATCGCCGCTAAACAATCATTTGATAATTTGAGGGAAACTAAGAGGGAGGGAGATTTTAAGGAGTTAATGCAGAAAAAATACTTTTTTGCAGAATAATGCCTTTTGTTTCAGTCAGCTCGCAATAAGGATTGCGAGCTGACATTACCGGGCTAACAAAAGCGTTTTAATGTAAGCGTTTTAATTCTGATACATTTTCTGGAAATCCTTATAAGAAAATTAAAACTATACAAAATTTAAGGATGAAGATTTTCATAATTTTAATTTCGAATTTTCTAAATTACATAATTATTAATAATTTTATATAATATGTAAACTATAATAATCATTATCACCAATTGTATCATCAACATCATTTTCATAATTATCATCACTGGATTATTTTCATCATCATTTTCATCACTTGCTGGGTCCGGGGAATCTAAAAATATTTATTTTTGTATAGGTCTCCATGTTAGAATATCGTTTCCTAAATTGAATTATAGTAAAACCTTTAATTTAATTACCCCCAAAACTTTTAAAATTCGATTAATACTTTGGGCTGAGGAAATTTCTAAGCATACACTTAATTTAAAATTTCCCTCAAATTTGTAAACGATTATTTTAGCCCCCAAGAAGGGTATTCAAAATCGAGATTTAACTCTACTATTAGTTATCTATATATTATGTACAAAGAATACACCAAGAGCTAGAAAAGATAAGAAAAATAAGGGGAGAAGAAAAATATTAAAGGTTATCTTGTGATAATAAAAAAAAGTTCCATACCTAAATCCATCTTAGTTCTCGAAGATGTTGAAAATTAAATAAAATTTTGTTTGCAGTTTTTCTGAATAATTTTTGTTTATTTAATTATTTTTTTAATGAATTTGAACTGAAAAGAATTTTCTAAAGTAAGCTAATTACAAGGCTAAAATAAATAATTTTTTACAAAATTTTTGCAATAGACTTGTAAAAGCATTTTGTGTTTGATTATTTTTTAGATAGGTGGCCAAAAAATGAGAATAAACTTTTTTCTTTCATTTTTAACATTTCTAGTAAATAAAAATATTTATTTAAAAGTTTTTAAATACAAAATTACTTAATTTATTTCTAAATAATTTTTAACATCTGACACAATTAGAAAAATAATAAAAGAATAATTAATTCCTTTTTTTCAAAAATAAATTATTTCATTTTCTTACAATAAATGTTGGCTGCCAAAAATGTGGAAAAAACACTTTTGAAAGAAAAAAACACCGATTTTGAAGTAAAATTAAATAAAAACAATGAAAGTTGATCGAATTTAAGTTTCACAAGTTTACACAATTTTTCATTTGTTCCTTGAACGGACGTCGGAAACTATCGTAGAGAAACGTTGCCGTTTTTGTTGTGGTGAAGAAGCGGCTCCAAATAAAAGGTAGCAAAAATTGCTTAACACTTAAACGACGGAAAATTTCATACGACGTTAAAGCCTGTTTGGGGTCATTTTGACCCCAATCGATTTTAGACCTTTTCTCTAGATTCGAAATTTACACCAGTCAATTCCTCTCGCTGAGCTGAGTTCAAATATGTAAGAATTTTTTGCGGGGGACGTAAACTCGCAGAGATATAGGTCTCCGAAAATCGAACTACCATAGGAGGGAGTAAGCTCAATTTTGGGGTGAAAAAATCGATTTTTTGAATGATAGCTCATTCGAAAGGGCACCTCGAGCTGAGTCGAAAGACACCAAAATCAACCCAATCTGACTTGATAGTACCGAGTTATAGGTCGGTTACTGTGATATATCTTGATCTATGTCTCGGTCTATATTTCGATCCACAGGCATTTCTGTACCTAGTCAATGGTACCGTTCGACTCAGCTTGGAGAGTGGAATCGATTGATATATATTTGAATCTAGGTCTCGGGTGTATAAGGCACTAACACAACTGGGGTCAAAATGACTCCAACCGTCCAGAACGTGACTAGATGTCATAAAAATTTTTATAAGATATGTATTTCTATTGTTTATTCATTTTTTAATACTAGCTATCGATATAAACAAAGTCACGAAAAGGGATGAGTGCAGTAAATATGCGAAGAGAGATATAAAGCTTAGAAATCGCTTTGGGGTCATTTTGACCCCATCCGTCGTTTAAGGGTTAAAATTTAGAAAAATCTAACAAAACAGAAAATTCTTTATGCAAAATCATTGGAAATAAATGGATGGATTAGTTTGGTATTTGATAAAAATCAGGAATGTAAAAACTACAAGATGAATATTGTTTTGGGAAAATTTAAAGATAAAGTTAAATTTTAATATAAAATGAAATTAAAAAAATTTTAAAGAAATTCCTTTAAAAATCATGTTTTGTTTTTTTTAAAAACATGTCGAGGAACAATCCCATTGTGGACTAATTGTTGCGGATTTAATGCCAAAGGTTCAAATCTGTGTTTACATCCTCATTAGGATAATTTCCTTGATAATACTCTTCATCTTGATTGTTTTCTTGATGTTCTACATTTGTTGGAAATAGTTGTAATTCTCCTCCATGTTGGTATACTGGATGGCCAAAATGTTGTGGTGGTGGGTATGTTGTCTGACCAACCTTTAAAAGTTTGCAAACAAAATTATAATCAAAAGTTTGATAAAAACTTTATTTTTAAGATCCCCCCTATTAATACCTGGATTTACAAATTCTAAAAAAAGTTAAGTAACAAAAATTTAGCCAAGAACTCAAAATTGGCATTTTACATTGGGGCGTTTTTCTAGCTAATTCCATCGGGCCTTAAACTCAAAACTCTGTGTATTAAGTTATCAGTTAATTGAAAATATATTCTCACATCAACTTGATTGTCCGCATTACTGCTCCCAGCAACATTATCGTTCCTTCTGCTATTTTTTGTTAAATAAATTCTCTCATAAATTATTTATCTAAAAAACAAACTAACGTGTAAGGAATTCCATCTTCACCTATTCCAATGAGCCGATAGCTTTTTAAATTTTTATCTTTTTTATATTTTAAAATAGAATCCCACAAATCTGTTCCATGTTGTTTACGAACATGTTCTCTCAATGTATTAAGACTTCTAAGAGAATTTCGACAATTATCAAATGGACACTGATAAAAGTTTATATCTGTATGCTGTTTTTCATGTTTAACTTTGTCATCGAAATTTTTATAACTCTAGAAAATTTGAAAATTAATTTTCATTCAGTAACACTACCGTTAACAGAGACAAAAATTTTTGGTTTAAAATCCCAAAAGGAAACAATATTGGATGAACCCGTCATGAGCTCTTGTATAACAACGAAGATTGGGAACTTTCTGTATGGAAAGACAGATTAAGCAAAAAGATGGACGTATTTACGAATTATAATGAAAAATCCACATCCATCATTAAAAGTAGTACTACTGATTAAGGTTGGGGTTCCGGATACCCGATCCGAAAAATGTCCGGATATCCGGAATTTTCGGTTCGGATATCGGATCCGGATATCCGAAGATTTCCAACTATCCGACAACCTTACTACCGATCACCCTTCATTTCCAATAAGACAAAATTTTATTTAAAAAATATAATTATTTACTCTATTGCAATAACCACATTTATGCTTGATAATTATTCCTTCTGTATAACGGCGTTGATGATCTTTAAGCCCTCTATTTTCAGTAAAGCTCTTATTGCAACGAATACCATTATGACTAAGCTAGAAAGGAATATTTTAAAAAACATGAAATTTTAATCGAAGTTAGTACTTTGCAAGCATAAGGATTAAGTCCAAGATGCCCTCTAATATGTACTTCCAGTTTTTGTGATGAATTTAACATTTTTCCTTGACAACCTTCCCATCCACATTTTAAATCCTTAAAAATTTTAATAAAATACAGAAAAATATTTATAAACACATTTGGCGGGTTGAAAGCTTCCCCAAAGCTTCCTTGAAAGCTTCCCATACATTGCACATTGCTTTAGAGAACTCTTGAAACCATCTCATCCGCACATTTAATGGCTCTACTGCAGTTTATGAGTCCAATCACGCTCTATGAGTCTTATCATAGTTTGGATCGAATGAAAAATTTACTAATCAAGACTCATAAACTGCAGTAGAGCACATTTTCTATTACCATGGATGGGGTTTTTCGGAAAATTTTTGGGGTGTTTTTCAGTCCAGAAAATACTAAAACGGATTTTATTATCGCTATAGTTACATTATAATCCCTATTATACCTTTTGCATTAATGCATGTTCATTATATACATGTTCCAGAAGAGTATCAACATTATCAAAAACTTGTCCACATTCATTCCATTTACAAGAACAATTTCCAGGTGTAGCTACTGGGGCAGATGAAGTACCTACTCCAGAACTTCTTAATATTTTTTAAATTAAGATAAATTATTTGTATTAACCCTTGGTTTTGTTGTCCATAAATACAAATAGGGTTTTCTGGATGATGAACACTTGCTAGACTTTTTCCTTTCCCTCCCTTTCCTACTCCTTCTGAATAATTTTTTAAAACGAAAAATAAAATAATAATTGCTGTGAATTTTTGATTGAACATTGTAATTTTTTAATTTAAAATATTATTCTTAAAAATCGGCACAATTAAAAAATATCTATAACAAAGTTTTAAATTTATAAGGTTACGATAATGAGAAAACTCGAAATCGATCAACTCGAGATCGCATTAGACAATTAAACTTTCAAAAAACAAATTAAAAAATTCAAGGAATAACAAATGAGATAAGTTATCCTCTTCAGGCGAGCTGCATAAAGTGGCTGAAGAAAACTCTGTTATCATCACTGCCCAACACTTATGAAATTTCCTAATTTGTTTTAACTAATAAGAGTGATTAATCAACTATTATTGCCTGTCTATAAAGGTAAATTTTAAGAGTCTGAATAAGTCGACTGCTCTCTCTCACCCTTTTGCCAAAAAATTGAGGTAAGAGGACATTTCACCTAAATTAACAGTCCTCGAATTCTCGAATGATATTTTACTATAATTTAAGCTATGCTAGGAAGACCTATATGTACAAATATGGTTCTGCATATTTCTCACTTATAAATAGAGCAATTACATTTGTAAGCATATCTAATTCAGGTCCGAAACTTTATCCAACAAAAATTAGAAAATACATTATAATAATAAAAATAAATATCCGTTACGATGTTTATTTTTGCTCTGCTCCGATTCTCTTCCATCGAGCTTAGATTTTAGATTAATTTCAAATCATACAAGTTTACTTCCAGAACAACAAGTTCCGAACAATTCGATGTCTATTCTGTAAAATATCCTTCGATTTTCCGTCAAATTATCTCATCGACCGACAAACATCCACGTTAATGCTTTTCTTCTCTCTCCTCTTTTCCTTTTCTTTAACTCTCTCGCTCTATTTACGATGAGAAGGGATAGGCAAATTTAATTTTACTTAGTTTCGTACCCTTTTTCGTATCCTTGTTTAGGTACGAAATAGATGTTGTAAGAATTATAAAATGTTGTAAGAATTTTTGACGTGAAGGTGGACAAAACTCGTTATTAACCGGTCCCCCGGTTATTAAACGGATTTTTATAACCGAATACCGTAACCGGTTAATAGACAGTCCAGTTTTTAATAAAAACTTTATTGAATAGAAATCAAGGAAAAATGTGAAAAACCAACTTAAATCATTTCACAAACGTCAATATAGGGAGTTTCGTCTTCTTCGTCCGATTGCAGCATTATCATCCAAATTGTTGAAAGTCGGCTCTCGAGATGCTTTATTTACAGCTTCATTAATTTTCGACCGATAAGGCAAAATTTCTTTTGTCCTAACTTGTTTTGACAAGCACTCAATCAAACTTCTGTAAACTACATAATAATTTCATTAAAATCAAGTTATGATACCAAAATTTTGCCAAATATTGAAAGATGTTCACCTAGCAGCATATAAAAGTCTAGACGGGGAAGTTGCCGTCCCTGTAGTTAAGTTATCGGTGGATACGCAAATGCTTATCAGGTCTTCCAAAATTCTCAAAAGGAATTATGAGGTATATCGGAGGATTTGCATGGATTAGGATGATTTTCGTTATATTTGAAGGGATTAAAACATTCTATTAAACCATTAGTGATTAACCCTTACTAAAATTATTCCGGGAGTTCCAGAAGTTCTGAAACTTGTTGATATTTGGTTGTTGATCTATTGGATATGTTTTTTAAACAAAATTTGCCTTTGATCATCTAATAGGCAAACATTAATGATCATCCCTATAAAATATTTTTTATTAAAAATTATTTTGATTAAAATAAGTGATTCATTTATTAAATATATATAAATATAGTTTTGGTAAATTAAAAATATTCATTTGTATTATTTTATAATTTTTTTCCAATTTTAATATTTATAAACGTAAGAGAAATATTAGCAGTGGAAATTAGGTAAGTATAAAAATTTTTTAAACTATAAATTAGTAACCTTAAATTAGTAAACTATAAATTAGTAATTTTTTAAACTATAAATTAGTTCAACATTTTAGGCCGTAAGTCGAGTATCGAGTAATTGGGGAAAACCCGAGTTCGAGTAATGCCGAGTTTGAAAACCCCGAGTTCGAGTACGAGTTCAACATTTTAGGCCGAGTTCGAGTACGAGTAATCGAGTAATTTTTATAAAACAATATTCTAAAATAATTTTACCAAAAACAATACTTTTACTTATTATCAGTGCTGGGTATTGGGCATTTGTTGGTAGTGATAAAGGGGATTAACATCCGAAAACCATTTATTTTCCTAATCCGCCTATATCCCTCTTAATCCGAAGAAATTCCATGATACGGCCATGATTAATGCTGGATCCAGGTGGAAATGGATAATATTATTTCGGGAGATTTATGTAAATTATGCAGATGATAACAAAGGACTGAGATGGATATCAAGGGATTAAGTGGGATTTGGGCTGATTATCGTGGGATTTGTGTTATTAGCAAAATCTGGGAAATTCGAGAGATAAATTGGGATATCATCTGATTAGGTATGTCGTTGAAAGCTGATCACGAGATCCGTTCTCTATCCCTCTCTTTTCGCTCCACTGGCTTAAATTTTGAGAATTTCTGAAACCCAATTTTTGGAAGGCCAAATCTCTCGCTATATCCTTAGATCCCTTGAAATATCCGAATATCACTAAAAGCCAATAACTTTATTCAGATATAACTCAAAATCCTCATTAATCTGTCCAAATCCTCTGATATAACATTCAACTTTTTCCTTTACAGCGCCGCAGGCAAAATTTTGAGAAATTTGGAAGGCCAAGGACAGATTTCTTTCTTTTTGAGCGACGCAGGCGAAAATTTTTGGAATTTTCAAAGGCCAAGTTGCAAAATTTCTTCACCTTTCTGCGCCGCAGGCGAAAATTTTGAGAAATTTCGAAGATCCTTAAGCCAAAAATCTTCGTTTTTGCGCCAAAGATAGGGGCATAAAAATACTCGGTTTTAACCGAGTCAGCCGAGTATGAAGTGCCCGAGTACGAGTAATCCGAGTATTAGGATTCCGAGTTCCGAGCCCGAGTAAATGCGAAAAAAACCCGGCGATCGAGTCGAGTATACTCGAACTCGCTCGTACTCGACTTACTCTAGTTTTCCCTGTTCTAAAAAACTTAAAGGCTTCCGATTCCTATGTTTGGCAGTGTTCCTAATTCCTGAATCAGGGAGAACACTGGTTTGATAGTTTAAATTAGGGTAGCTCCTATTAGATCTAAAACATAATGTTAGATATAATGCCAGGGCTTATCCTAAAATAATTACTTAAGAGAGGATAGTATTTATTTTGGCCCTCAAGTAGAAGATGCTTTTTTGCCTTCTTTATGGAATTAAAAAGTTATAGGCCTTCGAAATTTTGAATTTTCATATTCTTTTATGAGATTAACTATTTCAAATAAAGTAGAATATAAAATATTAGAGTAATAAGATAAGGCACATGAAAATATGATTTATTTTATGTAAATAGATTTTTAATTCAGAGAAAAGATGCGGGAATTTTTGGTTTTTTTGGTAATTATTTTGGTAATTAGAAACTGCGTGTGCTTAAAACGTGCAGTCTTGCATGAGAAATATATTAAAGCCTATTCTTGCCCGCGTCAAGAAACTTGGTGCAAGGATCTCCCGGACTATACAAACAACTATAATTGTTTAGTTCAAAATGCATATAAAAACCATGAGCATTATCCAATGTAAATAAAAAAATTTTTGATTTTTCATAGATACAGGCTGTTGAAAATTAATAAATTATTATTTCTAGTTGCAATGAATACTTTAAACCGTTTGAAGAAGCTGCTGATATGTAAATATTTTATCCATTTAATATATTTAAATAATATCAAACACAAAATACTAAACGCATATTATAATTACAGACTTTGTAGAGCAGCACAACGCTGCTATGTTCACACCATTGATAAGATTTATGGCACTGGAGATAAAATAGGAAAGGAATTGGATGACTGGCTTGGAGTTGAAAAGTCTGGAAAGGTTCCGTCTGGGAAATATGACATGCATATTGCCTTGTACGAGCTTTTTATAAAAAATCCTCAAATTTAGTAAGGCTATACATTATTATTCGTAAACGAATCTCATTCTTATTTATATAACAAAAAATAAAGCACATAAATTTTTGATCTTATTCAATTAATTTTCAACAAAATGTAATATAATTTTATTTAAACAGTGAAGAATGTTATCCTAACGCAAATGGTGTTCTTACACGCCATTACTCGCCTGCCTCAGATAAATTTATTTATTATTGTACTAGTACTGGGGTTTATGGAGACTGCTATAAATTATATCCTGCTTGCAAGGCGTAAGTTTATTATTCTTGCAAAATTTGGATTTATATTTGAAACTTAGAATAAAAATTGAGAGATTTTAGTTTTAAAATTTTGGAGGTCCTATAAGCCAAATTCCTCGATTTTTAAATCAAAATTCCAAAACATTTTCATTACTAGGGGCTAATTATGCGTTAATCCACCAATTTACCTTTTTATTTCTTTTAATCACTCATTTTTTCAAAAAGTAAACCTGGCAAAAAAATCCTCCCTTAATCAAGAAACGGCTTTTTAATGTACCTCACTTTTAATGTAACTAAGCTTCTTATTATGTTTATGTAAAAGTAAGATCCGACTGGATATATTTTATCATAGGGCGTGTCAAAATATGCACGGAAAATCCAAAAATATGCGCATATATATGCATCGAAAAAGCACAAAATATGCACTAAAATATACAAAAAATTTTTAAATATGCACTGGATATGCACCAGGGTTGCCGCCCGAAACGCGAAACCCGAAAGCCGGCCTTTTTTTGTACCCGAAACCCGATACCCGAAATGAAAATTTTCCAACCCGAAACCCGTACCCGATATTTTTTCCAACCCGAAACCCGTGACCCGAAATTGGTTAAAACCCGAAATTTCTACCCGAAAACTTAGCCTTACTCGATTTTTAAAAATAAATTTAAAAAATTATAGAAAGAGAAAGTAGGAAAAGAAAATTCAATATATATAATTTCTTCCATTTGTTCACTATGTCGGGCGG